AAGCCGTCTCCAGCCATTACAAGCTCAACATGTTTTATTTTATTGTTTCTTACTGCTTAGTTTCCTTCGTTCTTAAGCACGAGGCTACACAATAGGCTATTTGTGCACTTCCCACCGCGGATATCAAACCCCGATTCTTAGCGTTCTAACCCCTCAGACTTACTACTGACGCTTGCTGCTTAACAAAGACGTGTTCCTACATAAGGAGAGTAGTTTTTGTTTTGATGTCTTTCATCACAGAAATAAATCCTGTTTATGAATAATTTCATGTTTTTATTCAGGGTATCTTACATGTACATAATATTTGAATTTCGGTAATTAATTTAGTAACTTTTTTATTAACATTTCCACTACTAGTTGATCTTAGGAACGTGTTTCACACTTACCATCCATCAAATGAGCCCCACTTTTTTTATTCAGATAAAAGTAACTATTTACCTTAACGCTTCTTTCCAGTCTTATGACGTAGGTCAATCTCAGTTAAGTAGGACAGGCTTCTCGCCAGTGTTAATAAATCAATAGGTATCGTACATTTTGTTGTTTAGCTTCTCTTCGGTCTTATGACTTAAGCCTATCACAGGTTTAGCTAATTCATTCAGTTAACTAAAGTAGTCTCTTCATCAGTGTTAATAAATCAACGCGTATCGTACATTTTGTTGTATAGCTTCTCTTCGGTCTTATGACTTAGGCTTATCACAGGTTTAGCTAATTCATTCAGTTAACTAAAGTAGTCTATTCCTCAATGTTAATAAATCAACGCGTATCATAAATTTTGCTGTATTGTTTCTTTCTACAGTCTTATCACTCAGGCCTATCACAGGTTTAGCTAATTCACTTAATTAATTGGACTAAAGCCAGTGTATGAAATGATCCTTTCTTTAATTCTCTGTCAGTGGTTCCTCAACTACTTGCACGTCTCAACTGGGGTCATCCATGTTTCCTATTCGTTTACTTATTGAATTTTGGAAGATTTGTGTCTTGATCATTTCTACATCTAGTGTTTAGAAAGGCATGAAAAATGTTGAACAATCCAGCTACATAGAAACAACATCTTGTTAATAATTTCATTAATGGTAAGCAAATTACAAAATAATCTGTTAGATTTGAGCACTTACCTTTTCGCTCAAGTGTGAAGAATGAGCAGTCCTTAACACTAAAACATTTGTGAGATAGTGAACACTCAGTGCTAGAATAGGTAAGCTCTTTCAAAAATTTCTATTATTGGTTAATTCGTGTTAAATCAACGCTAAGGTTAGTGTGAATATAATGGACTTATGAATCATGCAACCAACTAACAATATAGTTCTAAAAAATAGAAAAATAGCAATACCGCACAATGAAAATCTAAGGATAATTGTAAACAATAGAAAATACAAAACCACCCAATGAAAATTTAAGTATTGATTATAAAAAATATAAATTAGCAATACCAATAAAGAGAAGTATTACTATCGAATAGAATAAAGCTAACACATTTTTTTTAAACAAACAAGTGTGTTTTTAATGTCTGCTGTTAAGGATTCACTTATAACGAATGTTTGAAATTTTTAGTGTTTTTTTTATTATGAGATGCGAAAAAGTTCTTCAGGTTAATCAACTACGTGATATTCTTAGACTATTCAATAACGAACAAACTGAAGGACCGCGATGTCTCAGATCTAGGCTCACCAAAGTAGCCTAATAATTAAGAGGCAAATAAATAGATTCAAATGACAACGAGTTTTGACTAGGAGTTCAAACTCACTCTGATATATGAATGGTTAACGAGCAACAGACATAATGGGAAACAATATTAGTACTTAGAATTTCTTTCTGTGGTATTGCTAATTTATATTTTTTATAATCAATACTTAAATTTTCATTGGGTGGTTTTGTATTTTCTATTGTTTACAATTATCCTTAGATTTTCCTAATTTTTCCCTCTGAAATACTAGGTGTCGCTATGTTCCGAATCCTGAAATATATTATTTTTCATGATAATAAAGAATTTCTCAGCTTACTTGAAAATAAAATAATTGTATAACAAAAACAACGTATTTAAATAAGTATTTTTTAGAATCACGAACGTACATGATTTTAACTCTTTAGGTTAAAATGTCCGCTTCACCTGTAAAGACCTAGGTGCGTTTCTTATTATGACATTCATTTTCAACGCACGAGGAAGACATCAGTGGGTGACATGGAGGAGGGGGTGGTGAGGTACAAACGCTGACTTCCTAGATCACTCCTCAGGGGTCTTAAGGTTACATGCCGGGTTTGGTGACAATCATTCCAGCGATTCGCGAGTTATGAGCAAACACATACACGAACTTTAGTCAAATAATGGTTTAAACATGTTTAATACCTTTTGTGTATTTTTACACACACAAAAAAAAATTTTATACTGCGTTAGAAAACTTATTTCAAAAGTTCTGATAATAACAGTTACTTCTACTTTGGAGCTCTGTTTATTATTTGCCTGTGTTCAAAATACACTCCTGATTCTATTTTTGTCTTTTTTTTGTCTTATGATATAACTGTGTCTGTTTTTTTTTCCGGTTAATCTTAAAGTATCACAAAAACAAAACTCGTAATATGTCGTAACATTTTCGACCTTTATACCTGATTCACTTGTGCACTTATTATATAATTTTACCAGAAAAGCATACAAAAGGCTTCAAAACCAACCAGTGTTACTAAAAATTTATTTTGACTCAGTTATCCTGCGCTTGGATTACTTGTTAATTAATTTATAAAGTTCTTTCTTTTCTTAAATACAGCATGGGAGATCAAAAGTCGTTGAACGACGACAAGATTTTGTATAATAGACAAACTATGATCTTACCTCATAACGGCAAAAATATCCGTAATGTATGGTAAAAAAAAAGTCATTAATGTGTAGAGAGTTAAATGTTACTGAAATAGTATTTAATTCATATCACAATGACACATTAACGTAAAGCTAATACTTAAACATGCAGTCACTGATACGGATCAAGTTTGGTAGCTATGGTGATTACATCATTACGCAAGTAACTACATGATGGTGCAACGTACAATGGTAACATCCTTATACTATTAGCATCGTTAAGATAGACCTTTGGTATCGTCTAGACATTATTAAGAACAACAGTTCTAAAATCACTGCGAATGCAAACTAGAAAACTGCGTTATTGAAATTAAACGTTTAAAAAACACAACGTGAAAGGTTACTTGTACAAAGCATGTCATGACATAATCAAGCCTCTTATCTCATACATGTGTTTAACGCTATTGTGTACATTTTGAATTGTCTTTCCTACATTTGTAACCATTATATTAAGCAATAAGGTCCAAACTACCAGTACAAAAGCTACTGACAAACCACTCGTCCACAGGGTAAGGTCCGAGAAGATAGTTGAACATCGTTACCACGGTGACAAGAAGTTTCTATTATCAGCCCTACGAGGTTCTTTTTCCTCGTATTAAGTTAACAAATATGCTCAAAAATTGCTTGGAAAGGCTTGAGTTCACTTGATGCGACGAGTTTATTTTTTTCACTACTTTCTAATTCTGTATTATCCGTGATCCAAAACGATGAAACCACGCAGTTTCAAACGATGTCACAGGTCATGTCTCATAGTTACTCGTGACTTTACACAGCTAAGGCGTAAACCACTGTTGAAAGTCCACATTTTCACTTAGCGTACAAAAAAAGTGCTAAAAGTTGGTTATTCTGACATAAAAGTAATTAACAAGAAAAAAAGACTGTACAGATATAATCAGCACTGTTTTGTGTTTGTTTCTTATTCCCGCCAGGTCACAGAAGTTGGCCAAGGTAATGAATTACCACTGTTAAAATCACAAGTGGTAATAAGGCAGCGTTAATGTGCACTCCATCAGCCGCATTGTCTTTCTTATCTTTTGGGTCTCCGTGAGGTGGCGTTTTTTCCTCGTTGTCGAATTGAATATCTGTGTCTGTCCTTGATGTTTCTGAGTAACGTTTAAAAAAATAATAATGAATATTGTTTTCAGTCGTTGAATGTATTTTCTTTCGTGAACTAATTTTAAATAACTAACTGAGTTAAAAACATCCACAATAACACAGTCATACTTCGCAAGTTAAATCTGACATTCTTAACAAAGCTGTTAGCCTCTTATTACTTTTATACATCAGTTGAGTAAATTTGCCCAAATGTATACATTTCACTTTATACAAAACATACATAGATTCCTTTGCTTCGACAACAAATTGGTAAATAGTGGTAATACTTGCAATCCTTTATAATAAAAATATCCCTTCTCTCACATTGGTTTATCAAAAGTCATATGATTTACCATAACGTAAAGATGTGTTAATTTATTAACATCACGGGTAATTTTACACCTTACAATCTAGATTCCTTTGCTTCGACAACAAATTGGTAAATAGTGGTAATACTTGCAATCCTCTATAATAAAAATATCCCTTCTCTCACATTGGTTTATTAAAAGTCATATGATTTACCAAGACGTAAAGATGTGTTAATTTATTAACATCACGGGTAATTTTATACCTTACAATCTATTTGTGTAAACAAGAATTCACATTATAATTTTACTCAAGAACCTTTGTTTTTATATATATTGTAAAACAACTTTCGCATAATTACGTTTCGTGCATATTTTCTGTAATATCTAAATAATTACTTTGTGTTTCTACATTATCTATAGAGTTATCTTTCTATTAAAACGAAGTGTTATCAAAGCAAGCGACAGTTGGTAAAAAAACATTTATCTTGTTATAATAATAACTTGCACAAGGAAAGAATGTTAGCAAGAGAAAAGCTTATAGCATATGGCAATATACTCGTTCACGATTTAAACTCATCATTTTATTCGTGAATAAACCTAGACTTGAAATTTTTATAGCGTCATTTTAATTTCAGAATAGTATGTATCTGTTTATCAGATTTTAAGTCATTAGTATTCTGTAGCTATACTATCTTTCGGTATTTCTTAATGACTTTCCAAGAAAAGCTTGACATTATTCAGTTCAACACTTACCACGAGCCTTGAAAGCACAAAATAATTGTTTACTTTACCCATCCAAACAGTGCTAACAAAACGGATGAAAAAAAAAAGTAGAAAAAAAACCTGCTAGAACTAGAGGAAAAGGCTCTTTCAACCAGGTCAATAGAATCTGTTGTCATAGCAACACACTCCACAGATATTATGAATTCTCTTCTAGCATTTGAGGGCAAATATTACTTGAAATTGTTTCAAATTTCCGAATTGCTACTGGAGTAATTGACGTTATTTTGTTTTTGATCTAATCAACGGTAAATTCACGTTTTCTATTAAGACAAATTACAGAGGATTAACAGCATCTTGTAGAAAAGATTTCCACATGATGTAGTGGCGTGTCGTCACAGGTTCGAGCTGAGGCATCACATGGCGACATGTTTAGCACTTATATACTTGATTCAGGTGACTTTTGACCTAGTAAAGCAAATTAAAAACACGGAAAGCATAGTCAAGTCTCTTCAGTTTTATTTATTGCACTAACAATGAAGAGGCGAAAATATTTTTCAGCTAATTTCTGACCACTCCTTCGTTGTCAAACCTGAATACCTACCAAGATTGGATTGGATTATGATCATTCGGTAATGCAATGCCACTACTTTTAGACGTCTGGCTGAAGGTATATAGAAACACCTTTCCAGCAACTAATGAAATTCAAAGTCTGAAATACGTCAATTTCAGAGTGGATGACATAGGCAAAGGAAGATCAACACACCCATGATAACGCCTAAAACAATCAAATCTGTACTCTACCACATGTACAAATCTCGCTACCTTTGCCAAAGTTCATAGTCTTCCAACCCACAATGAGATTGTTATAACTACACACCCCAATCGACTGTACAGAAGACATTTTAAAAATATCATCCCCTTGTAAACAAACATAAACCACGGGAGTACAGACACACTGGTGAAAGAGAAAAACGCCTTGCATGGGAGAATTAGAAAGTTGTTGCAACACTGAACGAGTTCTAAGTGTACTTGAACCACTGCGACAAGAAACGAACAAATTGATACAAATCACGAGGTTATAAGAACTTCCAACGAGGTACAGAGAATCTAAGGATTATGTTAGTCGCAGATTCCATGTATAATTGAAAATTTAAATCTTGTAAAGTGCACGGTAAAGCCAAGGTGAGCACTAGTAACTCTCAGGAGAATGTCTTGACATCAATTATGCGAGATGAGGCAAGGTGAGCACTAGTAACTCTCAGGAGAATGTATTGACATCAATTATGCGAGATGAGGCAAGGTGAGCACTAGTAACTCTCAGGAGAATGTATTGACATCAATTATGCGAGATGAGGCAAGGTGAGCACTAGTAACTCTCAGGAGAATGCATTGACATCAATTATGCGAGATGAGGCAAGGTGAGCACTAGTAACTCTCAGGAGAATGTCTTGACATCAATTATGCGAGATGAGGCAAGGTGAGCACTAGTAACTCTCAGGAGAATGTCTTGACATCAAGTATGCGAGATGAGGATTTTGCACTTTATGACCAAGACGCCAAAGAAGTATAGGTACATCAAGATAACGCTTCAGGTCCATAGAGAATGAAACAAGTGTTCATGCTGTCTCATTCTCCGGCATACCTATGAAGTCACTTAACTGCACACTGATGGAGTTTTGTGTATTTAGTTTGCTTAAACGTAGTCTTGCAAGTTGCCGTATGGTGGAGAGTCTGTACAAAGTTTGTCAAAACGTGTTGTCTACGGTTATTCTTTGTCATTCTTTGCAACAGCTTATTACATTCACCAGAGTCCACTTAGTAGGGGTGCAAAAATTCAGGTTCTAGGTTCTTTGATCTCGGTGCTATGGCGGGCACAAATCGTTCCTATGTGGTTATTCGCTAGCTTGCCTCATTAAAAAGATGCGCACGCGCATGCGCACACGTACGTGGATAAGTAATAACACCCAGGTGTACAACCTCGGGATCCACTTAGTATGGGTGCAAAATTTCAGGCTTCTAGTCTCTTTCCTCTTGGAGATATGGCGGTTACATATTCTTTCTTATGTGCTTTTTTTCCTACATTGCCTCGTAAAAAAGATGTGTACGCGCACGCGCGCGTGCACGTGGATAAGTAATAATACCCAGGTAATGATAGACAAGTGAGGATGTAGGTCCAAAAACGGAACGGGATCTAGCATATAATTTTTCTTCGAAATGCGATCAATCCTCTAAATTAGTAATTTGCAGATATATGCTCGTTCTAATCTACCAGTCTTATTCTATGAAATTGAAGCTTCAGTTCATATTAAAGAAAATATACGTCATTTATAGAAACTGACAACAATATTTGCTGAATATTTTCGGATTTAAAGTAAAAGGTGAATTAAATTCCAATCCTTTAAAACGTAAGTTTTTTTGCTTTTACATATACTGAAACGAATTTCGTTGATGGAAAGTTCGTAATCTATGTTAGTAGGTCAATTATATTAATAATAAGTCGTGTACGTTGTTTCTGTGAAAAAATAATTAAAATATTTTGTCATTGTTTCAACTCAGGACAGAGCTACTTCAAAAAAACTGTATACATAACACGCCGATTGGCTACAGAAATCAATGTCAAACGCAGCATTAACCTCACACTTTAGAATAAAAAGTAAACTGGTCACAAAGATGAGATTCATTCAGATAGAATTGACTACATGGATTTTAGAGATCAAAGTCATAAGTACAGCTAACTCTGAAATTAGCAGCTTGCATTGATATCAAAGCTTAGAATTTACAGAATCACATTAACGACAATGCAGAAAAGTGTGAAGAAGAAAAAACAACCACGAAACTTGAAAAAGTGACTTGCACAAGATGAAGATGGGTTTCCAAGCAGTAGAAGCTGCACATATAAGCGTCCTTTACCAACAGTTGTTAAACTTGCATTAAATTTAAAACATACCACTGTTTGCGTCTCCTGTGGTAGGACCTGGTGACTGGCCGGAGTATAAGGGATCGTTGTCCCCGCTCCCTGAAGAAATAAAGTGTTCGTAATTTTTAAAAAACGTACCAAAAAGGCGGCCATTACCAGACCCAAAGTAATAATAATCTTCATCATCATGGACGCTACTTTCTTCCCAGATTCGCCTCCTTTCACCACTTCCCGCTTCGTTCCAAACAATTTGAGATTCGGATTTCGGAATTCTAGTTATCTGTCGGTCCAACAGCTACAGTAAAAATAAATTAAGTTGTCAAATTTCATATACTGATAGACCCAATATATTAAAAAACAAAAAAAAATGCTTTACCCTAGGAAGTAACGTTAATTTTTTCTTAAAACAGTATTAAATTATGTATCTTTACGAAGTAGCATCTAATACAAGTTTTGAGCACTAGTCTAGCAGAATTTTAGTGTAGGCGCTGGCTGTTAAATCCGTGCTTCAGGGTTAGTGTTATGACTAAAAATGCTAAATTATTGCTTATTTGGGTTGATGCTATGATTAAAGGTGTCAAGTCCTCAAACAACCAATATAAAACTCTCTCACTGTACAAAGTTACATATCCACGAACTTAAACATTTTTGGTTGGAATTAATGGCACATATTAGGGCAGGTATAAAAATACATTCTTCTAGAAAGTTCGTTGAAAAACTACAAATTTTAGTTGTTTTTCTCTAGTATGAGCATGACAAACTATAAGAATTTACTATGATGTTAAGACAAGTTCTTTGCTAGTGATGGGTGGTATGCCAAAAACGTGTGTGTGTGTGTGTGTGTGTGCGTTTCATAGCAAAGCCACATCCGGCTATCTGCTGTGTTCACCGAGAGGAATCAAACACCTGATTTTTAGAGTTGTAAATCCTTATAATTACCACTGTCCTACCAAAGAATGCCAAAAATAATACCTTAACCGGGATTAAAGTATATAACCTGTTTCAAATAGTTTACAATAAAACCAATAACTGCCTTCGTTTTAGCACATACATAACAGAGCAGATTCACTGCAATAGACCCAAGATATTTTTTTTTCTTTTGGCATATGCCCCCAAGTGGCACAGCAGTATATCTGCGGAGTTACAACAGTAGAAACCGGGTTTATATCCCTGTGGTAGGCAGAGCACAAATAGCCCATTGTGTAACCTTTTGCTTAACTACAAAACAAACAGACAAAGAAAATAAAATGTATTATAATTTGCTTTTTTGTTTCTTAAGAAAAGATAACTTTTTGTAGCTTCAAAATATCCAATATGTTTATTTTTCTACAAGGTAGAATATAACTATTTGAAATGCACAAATATCATGGCATTGTGATCAGGAATGTCAGAAATTATAACTTAGCAAGTGTGGTTACAACATAATTGTCCTGAAAACTTAGAAAGTGTGTTTATAACATAATTGCACTGAAAACTTAGCAAGTATGGTTACAACATAATTTTACTGAAAACATAGCAAGTGTGTTTACAATACAATTGTACTGAAAACTTAGGAAGTGTGGTTACATCACAGTTGTAATGATAACCTAGGAAGTGTGGTTATATCACAGTTGTAATGATAATCTAGCACGTGTGGTTATATCACAGTTGTAATGATAACCTAGGAAGTGTGGTTATATTATAGTTGTACTGAAAACTTGCACGTGTGGTTATATCAAAGTTGTAATGATGACTTAGAAAATGTGGTTACATCACAGTTGTAATGATAACCTATGAAGTGCGATTATATCACAGTTGTAATGATAACCTAGGAAGTGTGGTTATATCACAGTTGTAATGATAACCTAGGAAGTGTGGTTATATCACAGTTGTAATGATAACCTAGGAAGTGTGACTATATCACAGTTGTAATGATAACCTAGGAAGTGTGACTATATCACAGTTGTAATGATAACCTAGGAAGTGTGACTATATCACAGTTGTAATGATAACCTAGGAAGTGTGACTATATCACAGTTGTAATGATAACCTAGCACGTGTGGTTACATTACAGTTGTACTGACAAGTGATAAAATGTGGTTACATAACACGGTTTAAACGCTGAAAGCTGGTGAAGTATTAGAAACCAGCAGGCCCAGAAATCTGAGATAAAAGTTAATTGTATTTATTGTTTTTCACATTCCTCTGAATTTGTCCAATTCGAAATGGGCGAATGTGAAACATCTGTAGTTAACGTGATTTGTATCACAAATTGTTAGACCTATTAGTTACATAACACTTGTACTAATAGCTAACGTGGTTACACAGCACAACTGTACTGATAACCTAGCTAGTAATGATAACATACACACACAAATGTTTTTCTGATGTCTCTGGCTGGAGAGCAGACTTACAAATAGGACAGCCATACTTAAATATTTTTTATCCAAAGCTTTAAAATGTCACCAAACTTAGATAATAAGTCTATCGATATATAAAAATTGTGCCAAGCTTAAAGCAAGATTAGGAGACCTTGTCTCCCATTATTTATAGTGTCTCAGTCAATAATATTCTTGCTAAGTGAGCGTGCAACAGCTCACAAAGATTGACGTTACTTCCTTATTAATAAACAGTGAAAGTTTTCATGTTTTCTCAGTGACAGTAACTCACTGTAAGTACTCTTATTAACTTAACATGTTTCTTTAATGCCAAAGGTGTTGTTCAACCTTCCGCTATTTTTCTCAAGTAAAATGTTGGCAAACTTAACTGTCTGCTCGATAAATGCTGTGGTGTTATATATTTTTTCAGTAACTTTACTCTGTCTTCAAGCTCTTTATCATTAATTTCATTTATGACTAGACACTTGTACTAACACAAGCCGGGATGCGAACACATAAGCATGTTCTTCGGCATTCATGTGTAAACGATCTTCACTAGCTTAACATATCGTGTAGAATATTAGAAACAGAGAAATAAAAAAACGTCATTTACAACTGAAAAAAATAATGTTCTACTTTTTTTTCTTTTTTTTTACAAATCATTGAAAGAAATGCCTGTGGATTGGTTCAATATAGTTATCCTAAAACGAATAACAACGGATATGATTAATAGACTTTATTTAGAGGCTTGTATAAATAGTTGCTTGTTTGTAATTAAGCACAAAGCTACACAATGGGCTATCTGTGCTCTGCCCACCACGGGTATCGAAACCCGGATTCTAGTGTTGTAAGTCCGCAGATTATTTAGAGGCAATTAACCCGAGAAGTCTACCTTCATGGAATGTACCCTCAGCGGTAATTTTGAAGGTTTATAACGCTAAAAACCTGTTTTAAATACTCGTGGTGGGCACAGCACATATAGCCCATTATGTAGCTTTGTGCTTAATAACAACAAACAAACATTCATGTTAGGCACTAAAGTTAAAAGATAAAGGACGTTTAGCAAATCTATTCAAGGGCTATCTGCGCTAGTCATCCCTAAGTTAGAAATGATAGGCTAAATGTAAAACAGCTAGTCAAATTCACCAATCGCCAACTCTTAGGCTGCTCTTTCCCATCAAATAGTGGGAGAAACCGTCACATTATGACGCCCCCATTACTGAAAGCGCGAGCATATTCGGTGATAAGATTCGAACCTGCAACCTGAAAATTACGAGTCAAGTGCCCTAATCATTAGGCCATGCCAGGCATCACTTATTTGTTAGGCTTAAAAAATGATGTTTAATAAAATTGGTGCGTATAGACCTAAAGGCAGCTTATTAGGCTTGAAAACAGCGTAGATTTTTCAGCTACTTTTATATTTATTAATAAAGAAAATATTAAAAATTAAGAATGAAAAAAAGGGTGAAATAGACGGGTCAGAGATATTTTACATAGTTGAAATGTTTCTTTTTGATATGCCCCAACTTTTTACTAAAAAGAATATGAAAATACTCAATAAAATCCAGTGTGAGGATACCGGAGTATCTATTTATAATCGATTCTAAACAAAGAATTCAGAAGAGCGGTAGATGTATCTAGCAATATCAAAACGTTCAGAGAAGGTCGGCATGAAAATATCAGGGTATCTATTTATAATTAATTATTAACAAAGCATTCGGAAGAGGAATGTACGGGAAAGGCTATTAGATCATGACAGTTTTGTTATAATTAACTGAAGTGTACAGAATTATAATTAGTATGGTCTAATTAAGTTTTGGTATCATTTCTTTTTATCAACAAATACTTTTGTTTAAAAAATATGATCATCCTTGGCCATACATAAAATATTAAATAAGCGGCATTTAATCAAGACGTCACAATTGTTTAAATCAGGTGGTAGGACACTTACGGTTTAATTGTTTGTGTTTAACGCAAAGCTGCGTAATGGGCTATTTGCGCTCTATTCATCACGGGGAATCAAACCCCGAGGTTTAACATTGTAAGTCCATAGGGGACTGGTTTTTCAATTAAAGCATACCATTGAAATTGAAACTAAATTAAGAGTATAGTTAAAATATATAGTTATATGCAACTTTCTACACTGCTGGCTAGCTGACTTGATCATACAGCTAGCCAGCAGTGTAGAAAGTTGCATATAAAATATTACGTACGTCTTCAAAAAAGATATATATAGAAAAAACCCATTGAACATGAAATGCAGGTTGAATGGAATAACAAAGTACAGTAAGTAAAACACAAGTCCTGCTATTTATGTAATACTAGAAGTTTTAAATCCCGTATGTCTGTGTGTCTGTATATCTATTTTCACAATAAATATTAAATATTTCAAAGTTGAAGTCTCATATTTTCAAGTACTATTTGTTAAGACCCCTGTTTTTAAGTTTGAGCAATCATTAAGGAATATTCTAATGTCAATAACACAAATATATTTGTTCTTCGTTTTATTTAAAAGCAGATAAAAGTAGCTTTCACGGTACACTGATTTTCTTTCTCTGAGTTTCGCTGAAATCTTCCTGTAATATGTGGTAAGATAATACCCAATCTGTGTTTTTTTGTCGACGTTTTGTTACACTTATGCATTATGTTTTTTATGTGAGACAAGCTAGATGATAATCTTAAAAAAAAAACATCCAAAAGATGAGGTGGTGGAACTAAACTATAGGGTTACTATACGTTTCCGATTTCCAGGGACAATCCAAGGATAAGAAATGTTGTCACTGGGAAAAAGATGTCTCCGAATCGAGAAAAAAAAAATCTCCCCAAAATACATTTATATTTCATTTTTTATGTTAATTTGTATATTATACATAAACATTCAGCCAGTTTTATTATTGTCAGCTTAGGTATGGCAACGTCATGGCACTACACTGGTGAGTCTCCGTAGTTATTTCCTAGAACATCTTCTTGATCTTTTTTTTTAATCCTATATAATTTGTTTGTTTGTTTAACACAAAGCTACAGAATTGGCATTTTGCGCTCTGTCCACTGCAGGAAACCGAATACCCCGGATTTTGCGTTGCGCTCTAGTTGTGTCCACCAAGAAGGGACTCCTCAAACAGATACACTCATCAGAGAAATAAAACTAGCACTAATACACCAAGATTCTTCGGTACTGTCTGTATGTGGAATTACGGTCAGCACAAAACTAAATTTTATAATAGTGTCTCTAGTTTTGGTTTACAAACTATAACCACCTTAAACTAAGCATATCTTGCAATTACTAGGGCATAATTTGTTAAGTCTATCCAGCATTTTCTATTAATATTTTTGTACTTTGTATACGAATACAATTTTTTATCGTAGAAAATGAAGGTAACGTTCTCATTCTTTCGATAACAATTTTGAACTTGAAGTTTAACATCAACATCATAGTCGCCGTTTCCATGCTCGCTAATGTCTGGTTATAGTTAAAGCTTGAAAGGCTATTATTCAGACTTGCCTTTAGTTTATTGTGGTCACAGCAAAAGTATCAAAATACCTGTATCTGATTTATACGATTTTTTTTTTTTGCCTGTGACTGTCCTTTTCTACGAAACTGTTTTTTTGTTTTGTTTTTATGTGCCGTAAAGCATTATGTTATCAAAACTTAAAATAAAAATAAGTCGTTGATATATATATATATACATACATATGTATGTTTCCATACATACAACAATAATAAAAAAAATTTCTTGTCATATTCAGAAAATGCTGTCAAACCGGTTTTATATTTCGAACATTATGCATAGGCTACCTTTTTTTTTACCCTATTAAGGGAATTCGTAGGTGTACTAAATTCCAATATTCATATAGACATTCCTTCTTAGTACATATATGCAATGTTAGAGACGCTAACCTATGGAATAACAGTATGGAATAACTGGCGTCATATTTTTTAATACAGGTAAGCGTTTTTCAGTGATTTCCTTCTTTGTATTGGTATTAAAGTAAATTTAACATCCACTTATGACATGTAAATACTTAAGTTTGTATCAATATAATGTCTCTGTATTACACGAGATTAAAAGCACTTCATCTGAACGATGTGCATATGGTAATACAGTAAGTAACGCATTGCAATAGATGCGTCTCTGTCATGTTACTGGTTCACGCTGAATCGTTAAAACTCAACAGAGTAATTTTACCTTTTAAAGCTGGAGTAATAAGAAAGGTAAATTATAAGATAAATACTCAAACAGCAACACTGTTAAATCATGTATTGCTAAAGTAACAATACTGTGATGGAAAGATCCTTCAATATTCTCTACGGAAATGTAAAAAAAACACAACAGAACGTTTAGGATATCAGTTCGAGAAACGCCCTCATAGACAAATGTGACGATAAGGTAACGAAAAAGAACATTCCAACCTCAAACGCCATTGCGATTGAGATTGGTATATTTTCTGGCTTTCGGTGAATGAATGAACAAAAATTTCAAGTTGATGACAGTACACAAGCAAATGTTTCACAATTTTGCAATTATACCTCGAAATCAAAACGAAAAACTAGTCACATCAATTTCCTTTCGTCAAGTCTTCCAGTACAGCGCCAATGAACCTTTGTTCCTCTGATCTGCTTAAATGTAGTTTTGGAAACACGTTTCCACGTGTAGTGGGGGGTTTATGGAAAGTTTGAAAATGTATGGTTTAAGATTTATCTCGCTATTCTTCGCAGGACCTTGCTACAATGAAAATTCTGGTTTCAAGCAATCTTGCGTTATCATGACTACCAGAGCGAGCACAACCAACAATGGAAAAAATAATAATAATTCCAAAGGCATCACGAAATATAGAACCTCATTCATATAAAGTGCAATTAACCTCTGTAGTACAATGAGTTATTCATTAACAATGTATTTTTAAGATAATAATCGTGAATACTTTTTTACCATGAAACTTCCAAACCAGAACTCAGAAGCTAAGTTGAAGATCTAAATACTATAGAGTTCTAACTGTTGTAATTATAAGGCTGATTAAAACCCAACTTACATTCTTATTTTCTTTAGTTAACTACCACAAAGAGAATAAAATAAATAAAAAATATACGAGCCAGACTATTATTTTCATTAAACGTAAAACAGTTATTTAAAATGTTTTATTGGAGTTTATACGCACACAAAATTCCTGCATGTACATTATATTATACATGATAGAAATTACACATGATCTACCAATGTTCTGAAAACAAGCAGTTATTTTTACACAGATACATGCTATGATATTCATGTATGATAAAAATGACAGAAATGTAGTATTCTCACCTCTCTCATACGCATCAGTTTATCCACCAAGGTAACTGTCATAGAATCGTGGCTTTCTGTCAAGGTAATTTCAGGGTTATATTTCTGAGCTCCTACACCCATGCCTGCTATGGTCTTTTTGTACCTTGCCACAGAAAATCAATTATATTAGACAAAGTAGGCATTTATAGAGTTAGCCTTATGGACTGAGTGAAATTCCACATCATGAGTCTTATAAGTAATATTGAAGCTGAGACAGTCAAAATAGTGGGTACAGTATTTCGACTAGCTTCGTCAAGCTACTATCCATTATTTAACTTGGATATTTAACTATACAAATATATCTTCATAGGCACACATTCAAAATTGATACTTTGAATAACATAATTTTACAAAGAAACTTCAACCTACACCGAGAATATATAATATTTTCTTTTCCAAGGATTTCGGTACTTAGTATTACATAAACCTACTTACTATGATTTTATGAATGTGATTTAGACTAGATCTTGGAATTTAAAAAGCAGTGGATAATTTTTCATTAAGTCATCAAACTGCAGATACGCTTCTGCTTTAATACCCATTAGTTACGGTGTTCATATTTTATGAATCCTCATAAACGTTTTAGTAATTACGTGAATGGGTGACATAATCCGAATTCTATGGTATGAGTCTTCTAGTTTTGTTAAAGTTTAAGATTTATCTAGCCCACTCCTCCAGATAACGTTTAATGAGGTCAAAGCTGTGTGTTTAACTGTGCAAACGTGTATATTTCAAGACTGAAAAAATGGAAACTGTGTAAATAATTTGATGACTGTCTACTGAGTTGTAGTTTAAAGTTGGTTATGCACAGTACTAATACAACTCGTTATCAACATCTCTTAAAACCTTCGTGCGATTTAGTTTAATTGTGTATTTTTCAATAATAGTACTTCAAATGACTTGGTTTTTACCGAGATATTAAAAAAATATCCGAAATGCATAAAGTTATTTTTAAATAAAAACAAATGGTAACTGTTGATATTCGTTCCTAATATCCAGCTAATAGACTAGAGGGAAGAGACAGTCAACACTATCCACCGCTAACTATAGTGGGATATGAAAGTCACGCTTTTGGTGCACTCACAGCCCGAAAGTACGTACGTTTTTTTTTGTGGAAACGAGTCGCGAACTGTAAATCTCCGAATATGGGCATGTTAACAACTAGGCCAAGTGTGGTCCAAAGTGCAAAAAGATTCACATTCACATTGCTTATCCATAAACTAGTCATGAGCTCCAATAACACGAATAAACTGCGCCCTATATCATGAATCTAGCTTTCTTATGGAAATCTTAAATCTTCTTTCAGCACTTAAGCCTTCAATTGCAATTTATGCATGAAAAACATGTGAAATATATTTATTGCTGCTAATATGCGGGTGATCTGTTGATATAATATATCCATTGTTAACCTTAAAAATTATCAATGGGGGTCTTTCGATTCCTTCAACTTTTTAAACACATTTTGCCAAATTATTTATGCACTAACTTGCTTGTGAGCCCGTGATTTTGTTTGTTATAGGGTTCCTAATAAAATACAAATCACACAAAAAATGTGAACACAAATACCATCAGTTACTCCCATTAATTACTACTGCTTGGGTCTCCTTTGTATTTAACACTCAAATTTTTTGGTCTTTTCTTTACATTGAGTGTTGTAAAAGGTTATAACATAATGTGACTCAGTAAGATGCAACATATGGGCCCCACCGGTTGTGAACAGTGCAAAACAAATCGGTAATTTAATGGCAACGGAATATTCATTCAAACAACAAAATTATGTTAGTTAATAATAAATTCCAAGCTGATAGTCAATGCTTCTGCAATGTCTTATAAACTTAAGACAATGGTGTGACGTGTGAGTAATATCTTCATTAGTAGACCAAACAAAATAACAAATAATATGTTCCGAGATTTGGTTCAGGTTTACCGAAGTAAGACTTCCAAGAAATCAAAAGGTTCTAAGAAGAAACGAGTAATTAATATAATTCTGAATTCGTAAATTCAAATTTGACGACATATAACATTCGAAGAAGAAATGGATAGCTTGTGGCAGATATAAAACTAAAAATATACACATTAACATGGTGAAAGTGTTCTGTTAAAAGGTTTAAAGAGGGAAAAAATTACAAAACGCAATAGCTATTGTTGTTGGTTTTTACAACATTTTAGGAAGGAAGGACTTTTAAAATAAGAACACGTTTTGATATTTCAGGCGTTCCGTTTCTGTAGCCAATAGTCTATAATTAGGGACGGTTACAACTGAATCCTAAGGGTCTCTGTACTGGCAGTTTAGCCCCTGTGCACATAAACTACCGGTCAGGTTGAAAATTTCAATTCCACAAATCTAGGCAGAAGAACTATGAGTTATAAAATAGATCACTTGTTTGAATTAAATGTATAATAATATGGGCCAATGTCACCACACACACACATTGAACCGATATTTAAAGAAGGTTTGGTTAGAGTATCCGTAGAAATTGTTAGATGTTTGTATTTGAAGCGAAGAGTTGTTACATACAATGGGGCTATCTGCGTCTGTTCGCTGCGAGTATCGAACTCTTCCAACTTTACCGCTGATCCACCAAAATACAAATTGTCTTTTTTTTCTTTGTAAAATATTTTCGCGTATATATTTCAATTGAGCATGCTGGTTGATACTATCTCTGTTTAAACTGATCTTGTAAAAGTATAGCTGATAACTTAATTTGAAGATACAAATATAATTTTACAATATGATATGAGTTTAAACAAGATATATATCATCATTATTTTTGTACCAGAACGAAATAATATAGAAGAACTGTCAATAAACTATCTCAAGGATTTACTTTAGTGGAACATTTCGACCTGAAAAAATAATTACTGAATTACTGAATTTACATCCTGTGCATAACGTCTGATGTAGATATAAGAACGACATGTTATTTATTCATCTTAAGTTTCTCAATATGTTTGATATTGATAGTTTCATAAACATTTTGTGGTAGTAAACTACTATAGATCAGGAGTTCTACTTTCAAACAACAATTGCCCGATGGGTCAGCGGCAAGTTTACTGACTCACAACGCTAAAATGTGGGGTTCGATTCTCCGCAGTTGGCAGAATATAAATAGTTCATTGGGTAGAAGAAAACAATCAAATAACGTCGCACTCGCAAGAGCATTCTTCGAATTAAATAAATATTTTCACACTACATTAAGCACAATCATGTTGGCTATACTCAGTGAACTACACAACCGTATATAACTTCCATGCTACCTGACAGATGTCTGCTTCATTTCGATGTTTGTTTATTTATTTTTACGGGTTCTTTAGGCCGGAAACTTATAACAATGATCAAAGTTTGGTTACAATTATTTACTGCTGTATTAGCACTGTAAACCTTTAGAACTGATTGATCAGCCCGCCTTCGAGTGTTCACTCTGTGAATATGCAAACGGTAATATTTTCATGTAGTAGTTTCTCTCCATCTAGAACAACTAAAACTTACACATTACTTACTCTCCAAGTTTATAACCATTCCAACAAAGCACTTCATCCTGAGAGGCCCATGAACGATCATTACACACTGAATCAGCTAGGTTACCATAGTAACCTTTAAAGTCTGCCAGTTTTTGTAGGAAGACTTGAAGTCTCTGATTCAGTTTAGGTTCAAATTTTATAGAAGTTGCTTGGCTAATGACGTTGGTTTGGTTCGAGACAGCTATAGAAGAATGCGTTGGCTTTTCTGAACGTCGGTGATGACCACAATGTGTCTGGACCTGTGAAAATAAAGAATAAAAGCATATGTAATAGAAAAATTTATTCATATACATTGTGCACTATCTGTGATGTAGCACTGACGTAATCAAGTCAAAAACAGCGTGAGATTGTTCCTATAAGAGTACACTGTAAACCTGGATATTAATAATGATGAGTTTTCTAAATATTTGTATTTGAATAACTAGAGGTCAATTACAATTCCTGTAAAGTTAAGTTCATGTTCGCTTCTTAATGCCAAAAATACTTTTAACGCGAGTCATGTATATATTTTATTGATATTTCGGCTGATAAACTTACCCTTTTTAGCGTTTTAAACTTTCAGTAACATCATTTATAATCTGAGACAACGTAGTGTTGTTTAATCATCTGAAGCATGTGTGAATTAGGAAGTGAAAACTATATTAATCATCTATGGCGTGTGTGAACTAGCTATTAAATAACTAAAAAAAGGTATAAGCACAATTACCCGTCCCCAGTGACGGGAAACGTTTAAGTTAATCTAGTAAAAGTACCTGTCTCCAGTGGTTGGAAAATGTAAGTTAATTGGTTTGTTTGTAGTTAAACACAAAGCTACACAAAGGGCTATCTGTGGTCTGCCCACCACGGGTATCGAAACCCGGTTTTAAGCGTTGTAAGTCCGCAGACATACTGCTGTGCCACTGGGAGGCAATCTTAAGTTAATCTATCAACTTAAATTTTTTATGGACTTCAAAATCTAATTGTTGATTATTTCAGTCATGCTAAGAGCCGCTCAAGAATACGTACGGTAAATCTATTTTTTTTTATTCTTTAAGTTACATCACATTTTAGAATGTGAATGATAGTGTGATTGATTCTTACCAATTTAGTTTAGAATATCCTGCTTGCGAAATAAAATTTGCCATGAACATTATTCATGCCTGTTCTCACGTCATTTTAAAAGTGAATGTTGAGCTTTGCCTGCGTGCGTAGCTTTTGGAACGGTAAACAGATGAACGCTTGGACAAACACCACGGTTCGCAATATATATAAGATAGAACATTGAAACAACGTAGTAAAGCTAGATCTATGATCTATTGGATGTGGTAAGAAAGACAATAAACTGTGTATCAGTGACTTACAGTTTGTCTTAGACAAGCAATGACAGCTGAATCAATGAGCTATGCATTCCAAATCCAGCATTTAAACTTCTAGACCTTTATAAACATTTATAATCGTTTTAATACAAGATATAATGTTATATTTAATATAATCATGGTTTGGTGATGAAAACTCTAAAAGCAAACACAACTGATGTTCGATACGTTATTCTGTGTACTTCATATTCTGCTTAATTACAGACGAAAAAAGTGATAAACGTCTTGTTACAAATATTGCTAGATTATACCGTTAATAAATGGCATTATGTTTCAAACACTGATGAAACAGTTGTACAATAAAATGCCGCTTTTGATTTGCTTTTGTGTTCCTTTTTTATTTCATGTCAGAAGGATAAGTTGGGAAAACAGTTATTTTAATTATCAACCAACAACATCCTCATTTATTTTTCTTGTGGATCATTAATTAAAATTAATTATTTTCTGTAATTAGTCACCAGTATTACCTTATTGCAATGTTTTCCAAACTTTAAACAGGGGCGCCCCCTAACTCAGCAAAGTTTCCGTTGCCCCCCTTTCACATTAAAATAATTTCCACAAGTGATAACAAAATTAATATTTCTTTACCTGTTTTTAATATTTATTTAGAATGAAAAAACGCTTGTAAGGTGTGTGTAAATGCGAGAGCAAAACAAGCTTTCAGAGCAAAGTGATAGTTTTGTTAGGTTATCGTTGTCTCCAACTCTTCTGTTT